GAATCGTATTTGTTGTCTTATAGACTAGATAACAAAGAAAAATAAAACCGTATTTCTGACCAAATTGATATAATTTACTAGAAAATGAGAAAGACACTATTTATTTAATTTTCTTCCTTTTGAATTTCAAATAATTACAATTTTGAAACATAGTATTAATCTCCATCAATGATGCATGTAGTTGAGTTCTACTATCATTGCATCAAATACATTTATTATAATCTATGGATTAGTGGGTTTTTTTCATAATAAAATGAACAAACAACCTACACCCACTGAGCAACCAATTTCTTATTTTTTTGTGTAGCTTAATGCATGGCTCCAAATATTCTCTTTAAAAACTTTTTTTTTTCAATGCATACCATTTTAGAGAGGCAGTGTGAGGCTGGGCAGGCTGGAGATCCATCAACATCCTTAGAAACCCAAGAAACCCAACATCAGTCTACACCCAACCGCCAGTGTAGCCTCTGGATAGAGCATATCTAAGCTTAGGGCTTTTTTTCTTTTTTATTTGGAATATGAGGAGAAGAGAAGGGATGAAAAATGAGGGGAAAAAAGACAATCGACCAAAAAAACCCCCAAAATACAAAAAAAAAAAAAAAACACAAAAAAAAAACTCTGTCAACACCTACCAGTGGTGTGGGAGGGCACATTCATAAGCCTAGCTAAAAACAAAAATATATTAGCTATTGTTTCTTGAATGGCCTCCTCCCTGTGCCTCAGTTTCCTCCTTTGTAAACTGACAGCCATTTATTGAATTATTAATTTGTGCTGTCCTATGGATATTTCCAGTGGGTGTCTTCTCCTGCCTTCTAGATACTTGAGTAGCAGGAAGGAGGAGCTGCCCGAAGGCAGAGTCTGGAGGATCCCAGACATGGGGAAAGAATGCACGACTAGGAGAGTTGGGCAGATATGACTGTGCCAGTGGCGCTGGAGACCTCAAATGAAAATCCGTGAGAACAAAGCAAATGGGGGGCACAGAGACACTCAGAAGGGAGCAAATGCACCAGGTGGGAAGAGAGAGTCCATTCAGTGAGGAGAGCTATCCCAAAAAGCCCCTTCGGGCTGTAAGCTCCTTTAGCGGCTTTCGTGCCCCATGAACCCACCACATCTGGGCACAGAGCCTGCGGGGTGTGGTGGTGCAGCCCCCGAAGGTGTCGGGGGTTATGGCAGGACACAGCGGTTCTTGTTTCACCAATGCTGTGCTCCCCGGAGTCAAGGTTTAGAAGACTGTTTCTCCCATGCTTTGCAAGTCACTCTTCGAGCCCGAGAAATGTCTGTATCATTTTCCCCGCTGTTCATATTATATTAAGATTTTTCAGGGGGAGGTTTCAAATGGGCAGTCAGGGGACAGAGGGAGCTACTGAGATTCGAACTCGGCGCCCTGCTTCATGGCACTTGTTTGGATCCTCTTTCCAAGAAAGGAGCTAGAAATAGAAGAGAGAGAGAGAGAGTGTAGCATGTCCTCGGGTGGAAAGGACATGCTACACACACAGACCTTGCAGAGCTTCCTGAGTGTTTTGCTCTGTGTAAACTGGCAGTTTTGGAATATTCCTGCCCTGGGGGGGGAGGCACAGTGTCTGAGGGGCACAGTGACTAGACCTCCCGTGACGGCAGCGAAATGGGCTCATAGGTGGCCTCGCGTTGATTTCGGGGAAAGAAAGAATTCAAATATTTCCTGCACCTGCAAGTTTATGGAGCAGGATTGGTCTTGGCTCGAAGTATGTTCCATGCTTGAATGGGATCTTTCAAGCTGCCACCCCTGCCTCCCTTGCGGTACTGGTGTGACTGGAACTGTTCCCAGTGCACCATTTCTTAAAGAAATGAAGGTTCAAAGGAAAACATGCAAAGGTCTCTTTTATTTAAAGGAAGTGTTTGGCTTGCTCCTTCAAGCTTGTTAAAAATCATGCACAGTAAATAGCGTTAGGGCAATCCTGAGAGGTCCTGGGACATGTGTTAAACACACAGGTCACCTCTAATGGGCTTAAACATCCCGTTTTGTTTTAAGTTTGCTGGGTCCCCTAGTGAGCTTCTGCTCTGGTTACTTCTAAGGATGGCACCAACAGGCTGGCCTCTAGCGCTTCCCACTCCGTCGCCGTCCACCCTTGGAAGCTGCCAGAGCACACGCACCAGACCATGGTCTCCTCTTTGTACCTGTTTTCTCACCCCTTGTCTCTGTCCTGCAAGGTCTTTCCATCCCACCCACCTCTTGTTGGAGCCCTTGAGCATTTCTCGGTCCCAGTGGAGCATGTGGGATTTGAAAGACCTGCAGGACCCCTGCACCTGGCCAGCCGTCTGCCTCCGGTGTAGAATGATCTCCTTCTTAAATGTTTCAAAGAAGTGAGGATTGTGGAGAGAGGGAGAGGTGCTCAGAGATGCCCTGAAATTGCAAGAGGGCTTCGATTGGTTACGGGATGCTGTGAGCTGGGAGCTAAGGCCAAAACCAGGGAAGTTCATTTGAGCTGTGGGCACAGAAAAAGCATCCTATTCAGGTGCCCAGTCCTATAGGAGGAGCTCGGGCCCTGGCCACAGGGGTTACGCTCAGGCCCAGTGAGGATGGCCACTCATCTGAGAGGATGTAGTGAGTTTCCAAGTCAGGAAGGACAGTATAAAAGAGGGTCCTTTCCACCCGAGGAGATGCTACTCTCTCTCTCTCTCTCTCTCTCTCTCTCTCTCTCTCTCTCTCTCTCTTCTATTTCAAAAGAACAAAATTCAGCTTATATAACTAACCTATCGAATCTATAAGTTAGCCATGGTTGCTTAGTGATACACATTTAAATGATTTATTTTCCATGAAAAAGTGAGTCAAGGTGAATAAATAAATAATAGCAGTAATGATCCATGGGATGAACAACCTTTTTGAAAGTTGAAGTAGAAGGACTAAGTGCCCTGGGCCTACAGAGCAATCCGTTCTATATAGGGGTGAAGCTATGGATCTCACGAGACCAGAATTGGCCACAGAGCTAAAAGTAAGTGTGGCTTAGCTGCATTTAGCCAGATGTTTGTCTTCCCCCAGCTCAGGGAGCTATCCAAGGGTATGGCGTTTGATCAAAACATAACCATTGAACATGGAAATAAAGACATGAAAATCGAGCTGTTTCAAAAGGAGGTACTAACTCAGTGGAAAGTGGAGCAAGATAGTGGAGTGATGGGCAGAAGAGAAGAGGAGACAGGTGGGGAGAGAGGAGACCGAGAAAGAAACACTGATGTACGATAGAAATGTTCCCTTTTCATGAGAAAGCCCTAAGCTTTCCAGCAGTCCAAGCAGCCGTGAGGCTGCCTGGCTGGTATGTCTCCATGAGATTCCAATGCATGTTTACATTCTTCTTAAATTCTGTGTTATAGCAAGTTCCTGGTTGACACCTTGGCTAAAACACAATTATTTCTGAATTCATGTCCTTTTGGCATCCATGGATCTTAAAACAAAGAGGCGTCCTCATTTCACTAATATAAATGTGTAACTGAAGCACACAACTTCTCCAAATAAAACACCAAGTCCTTATTCCTGGGACCACGCTTTCCGTGGGAGCCAGCTGCAAGTGGCAGTAGGCAAGTGGGCAGTAGTCAGCCCACCAAGGGGTTCAGCGTTTCCTATGTGGCACAAGATGCTCAACCTTTACTGCCTCGCTTCCCCCTCTCAGCCCTGGGTGGGCAGGAATTTCCTCCACCCATTACCTCCACTTCTGTTTTCAGTGGAGGAAACTTTTTTCTTCAGAGAAGAGATGAAATGCTTTGTCCAAAAATAATTAATTAATTAATTAATTAAAAAAAAAGAAAAAAATGCTTTGTCCAGAATCATTCATTGACCCTGGGGCCTGAGCCCGTGTGATCTGGCTCCAGTCACACCGAGTAATGCTGTCGCCCTCACTGAACCACACTCTGAGAAATGCAGTGAAAGGAAAGGAAGAAGATGAGAAATAAGATAATGAGGTGGGCAGGTCACAGGAAACAGTATCTCTACTTGAAACTTTCAAATAAGCAATAGGAGAGAGAGAGAGAGAGAGAAGAACCTAGAATGTGGACAGGCATAGGTCCACAGGCTTACATTTACTAAATCTAAGGCCAAGTAAAGATTAAGATATAGAGGATGTAGATGATATAGACATAGATGATCTATAGATCTAGACAATATAGATCCATAAACACACACCTTTATAAGGCAGGTCCCTAAATCTTGCGGCTTTCCATCACCTTAATGTCTGCCCTGGACCTAGAAAAATTCACTCTAAACTGGAACCACTCATGTGAAAGATTAGGCTCGCCCACCCCCAAAAAAATGCTCACATCCAAAAATTGCATCCCAGTCTGTCCGAGGGGTTCTACTTGAGATCATGTTGGTGTTGGACTTGAACGAAGTCATGACGTGCCCACGATATATTCCCAGCAGCTTCTCTAGACACGTGGCACGTGCACATAGGTTTTCCAGTCACATGTATTAAAAGGAACTTTGGCAGCTTCAACATGATTCACTAAGTCACGAGATTCAGTTCCGCGCTCTGTTGTTCTTTGATACTAAATTTTAAAAACCAAGGTATTGATACAGCTAGAGTTGCTGTGTACTGTCAACTGCCTCAGTAATTAGGCACCAAAGCTAAATTCTCAGGTATTCCAGAGAATTCTAATCATGGGATAAAGAGAGAAATTTGAAGGAGTTAACTTGAGCTGTTACATTATGCTTAGGATGATAAGAAGCCATGAAAGTATCCTTTTTTCTTCTTTGAAAATAAGTACAAGTTATAACACAAATTCGATCAGTAAGGTTTTACTCTCCCCCACCCCCCCCCCCACCACCACCCTCACCTTCCTGATACTCTGGGTTACAGAGATCTGCAGCTAAAACCTGCTGTTGTTTTTGGTTTGATGGGTCAGTCTCAGGTCTTTGTGAAGTAAGGGAAGCAAACTTGTACATGAATTGCTCTGGAATTTCTGTCTGACTTATGCATTTTCTTTTATTTATTTCATTTTTGCATTGAAAACATTACATTTCTGTTTCCTTATAGAGTAGTGTATCAAGAGCCTGTGTATGGCAATAAATTGCTGCAGGTATGAAATCCCGACTGGTGGAAAAACTCATCACTATGATTGTGGGTTTGCTGTGAAATCCTACTAACAAGACAATTCTGGGGAGGGGATATGTTCTCTAACATAGAAGACGAAAGACTTAACTGAATTTTCCAGTTTCGATGTGAATGCTTCTGGGATAGAGATACACACCCTCAGATTTCCCCTGTTGACTAGATCTTGAGTGTATCAAAATGGAGGTCTGACTTGGCTGTAAATTTGCTGGCTTAAAATGTATCTAGACTCAATTAATATAAATTCAGCGCAAAACCTTGCAAGGTTTCATCGTGTCAACTGTCTGGGTAATTGTGGTAGGTTCCTGGAGTCAACTGGAATGGTCAAACAAAAAACGTATTCATCCAGCATTGAGGGTCAGCCCAGCCAACATGACTTTGCCTGGTTTCATTGTAGCTTCTTATAAATTTATTTCACACCTATTGCTATAGCTCTCAACCTTATTACTCACTACTGAAACAACCCCCAAATGAACTAATTTGTAGGAAAAAAAAAGAGCAACACGTCCATTGGAGTGTAGCTGGCCGAGTCTCCCAATATGGTCTGTAGCCAACATGAAAACTGTCAAACAAAATGAAGGAAGAATGTAAAACTAAGGATGATCAGTGGGAGTTTTATTACATGGATTTCCCTGTAACATGCAATTCCCATTGTTGTTCTGTATTAAGTCAATTAAGAAAGTACATTCTTTTTTTAACCACGAGAATTAAGTTTTAATGAGAAATCTAGTGTGAAAAGGGGGTACTTGGATCTAGGAGAGAACAAAATAATTCAAATTCCCAAGATCAACTTTTATTTTTATGTTTCAGGAAAACTGATTTTTATTGCCACACTTCAAAGAGAGCCGAATGTATACTGATGAATTAGGGAGCCATTACTCAAGTGTTTCATTTTGCAAATATTCTTATAAAGGTTGTTTTAGTTATATATATATATATATATATATATATTTATGTATATATTCCATCCACCTTGCAGATTGCACAAAGTGAGATCCTTGGGTCTTCTCAGAAAATGGAAAGGCTTCTGCCTAGAATTAAGCCCATTGCTACTTTATACAGTTAAGCTGAAGAGAAACACACACGGAGCCCTTCCCGTTGCCACATCCCCACCAGCACACAAACGTTTTGCCTCTCTTCCTAAGTCATTTGGATATTAGAATATCTTTTTCCAAAAGTGTGCTCTAAAGTAAAACTGGATTTTTTTTTTTTTTTTTTTTTTGGTCAAATGACTCTGAGATGCCCTGAGCATCTATAGCACTTGCCAATATTGTTTTAGGAAGTTCCACAGATGGAGGAACCTGGTCCATTTCATTTACTTTGGCATTTCCCAAACCTATTTGGTCATGGAAAGGTTTCCTTTCCTACCACTATTAGCACCCCCAAGAAATGCAATGTTGAAAACGTTTTGTTGGAGCGCCATTAGGGGTCCTTAATCAATAACCTCTGCCCCAACCTCCAGAGGTCTCACTAGCAAAGGAAATGTTTCACACAATGAGTCGAGATCTTTGTGGCGGCTTCTGGTGATGGGGGCAGAGGGGGAAATCCATAACGGCCATTTAAAATGTATATTTTATATAAGGTCTCATTTATAGCTTGCTGCCCAGTATGTGAAAAAATGAGTATGTTTTATGAGGAGGGAGTACAGAACCATGCTGTGCTTGCTCTTCAGTTTGGTGGTGGGAGAAATCTCATTGTCAAGGGCACATTTTTGTCCTAAGGTCAGGAAGACTGGCTTCAGCATGAACATGGTTTGGTGCCAGCAAATGGAGGTGAGCGCTCCTGTTTCAGACATTAGCACAGAACCTTGCAGAAGCTCTGGCTATGCTCAGCGAGCTGCAAAATATGGAGCAATAAAATTGATTAGAGTCACCTGTTAGAAAGGCAAATTAAAGCAATTTGTATTTTTTGATCATTTTACAGTGTATGCACACATACACAGAGTTAATACACAACTCTGTTATTCCCCTAATATGGATTTCATACAGAAGAAAGATAGCAAAAGGAGACAATGCAGTATATAGGTGTGCTGGTATCAAGCCACCTGAACCTTTTCCTTTTCCACTTATAACTTATCTGAGGGATCATATAGACCTGGACTGTTAAATATGGAAGCCACCAGCCCCATGTAGCCCTTGACATGTAAATTCAAATTAATCAAATTAAAAATTCAGTTTGTTTTACCAGCCATATTTCAAGTGTTCAATAGTCACTTAGGACCGGTTACTACTGTATTGCACAGCACAGATAAGAACATTGCCATCCCCACCAACAGGCCTACTGGACAGGAAGGAGACCACTGTTCAAGGTCAGAATCTCTCCAATGGCTCCACAGACTTCAGCACACTATGACCTTGAGTCTTAAGTAGGGAAAGCTCGGAAACAGATTCCTAAATATCCAAGACGAGTGTCAGGGCATTGGCCATTCATGCCTGTCTTGTGTAGAAACACACCCTCATTTTGTCTAAATGGCCAAGTCATATGAAAATAATGGAGAGGATGACACTTCCCAAAGTGTCACAGACAAGCACGTCTGTTGTGCACAAGGATCCCAGTTGCACACACATCCATTTTAGGATCATACGATAAATATCGACTGGCAGTCAGCGAGGTCCATTTTAGTTATCTGTTCTTTGCACCACAGCTGTTCTTCCCACTTAGCAAACTTGCTACCCAGTTTCACTGGTGGAAACTATGGCAAAAGCTGAGGACACATACAGAGTTCAAACACAGAGGGCTTGCAAGGGGAGGGGGGCCATTGCTAGAAATCTTTGCTAGAACCAAATCCACAGTCCCCAAATCATGATTGATTTACGTGGCACTTGATCCAAATACCTTTGCAATGGCTTTTGCTCTTTATTCTGGAAGAGAAAAAACACACATTTTTTTCACTGTTTAATATACACACCTGCACACCTGTGTCTTTCCAGACACATCATGAAAGCCGAGGAGATGGACAAGCAGATAAAAAGAATGACTCCAGAATCTGATGACCTAATTTCCCCCCAGCCCATCATTCTGTATCTTGAGCTTGGTGCTGGTGTAACAACTGCTTTGGTTTTACAACTCCTCAGCACATTTAATGAGTTTCCCCGTTCTTAATTAGAGAACATGGTGTTTGGAACACCAGGTGGTGTCTGGCTAAGACCTCATTTTTTTTAAACTTCCACATGATTTTTCAAGGGAGAATTTTTTTTTTTTTTAATACTGGCTCCAAATGATTGGTGATTATCTATCAGGATGTCTTGGATGGTGCCTTCTCCAGGGCTGATCCAAAGAACACATTTCTTTAAGGACAAACTAGATTTTTGAATTGCTATGTGAGTGGTGGCAGATTTGTTTTGGAAGTTAGCTATTGCTAGAAGAGGGTAGAAATAGATTATTGAGACCACCTTGTCTACGTGTTGAAAGATGCTCTCTGTAGCATTTGTCTTCTTGTCTTACCACTTGGTTGTCCCCTACACACAAAGCTAAGCGTAACGTACCCCCTCACTCCTGATTTTGTTGCTAGATCCCTTCTGACACATGAGTGACTCTGCTGTTGGGGGTGGGGGCGGTCCTCTAACACATCAGTCTGTTCCAAGTTGCCCGTTTGTGGTAAGGGTGAAAACCATTCCTTCAGAGGATTATGGGACTGTGAATTCTAATTAGAACCCGAGTGGTCCCCGCGTTATCAGAAGAGACTGGATCCTGTTTGTTAATTGTGCTGAGATCATTCGACAGTGGTTGATGTATCGCTGTGGTCTGCTGAGCAAGAAGCTCAGTTATTTTCACAGTTTGATAATCAATGCTCCACTGAACACAATTCCTTTCGAATATGACCATTTGCTTGTCCTCTGCTTAATTGAACAATTGCAATAACTGGTACATGCAACTAAATGTTAATTATTTTTTTCAGGTTTTTTTCCTCTCTTAATGATTTTATTTACAAATTAGAAAGCTTTATCATATTCTCCACACCAAACAAATTCCCTATCTGAACCAGTGTGATATCTTTAGCGGAAAAGACAGAATTTTTAACAAGTGTTCACCATTCCGTGTTTTTTAAATAATTATGCCACATTTAGGAAGCTAAATGCAGTCTTCTTTAATTGCTTCAGTGGTTGAACAGCTACATATGCAAGAGATTACTAATAAACTTTCAATCAAAGTGTTATTTTTTTTTTTTAGTAAATATAAATGTAAGACAGGAGGGCCTTAGCTCAACCTATATTGGATTTTTAAGGAAGTGATCAAGGATTGTTTGAATAAAGTGTAAGTTAGTAGCTAAGAAGTAAAGGTAAAGCAAAATTATTTTTGAAAATCTGGAAAGTTCAGCAAAGTATAAAGAGTGTTTAGAGAATTCCCCCGTAATCCTTCCCACCCAACACGATCACCATTAACCATTTAGGTACATCTCTTTAGAAGGGTACCTGGGTTCTTCTTTTGGGAAATGCTTACACCTGCTAACCTTTAACATCCAGCTGGGGTTGGTATCCAAGCCCCTGGCTCTCCAGTGTGTTTTGTACTCCTGCTTTGGTACTAAGCTTTCATTAACCTCCACGTTAGACTGGTAGATGTGGGTTACTGCTGTTCTGGTGTGGTCTCACAGTTCGGGCGCCCCTGAGTTGGGCTCCTCTGCATTCCTAAGTCAGATTTCTCCTTGCGTTTCAGGGTGGTTATGCTGCATACCGCTACGCCCAGCCAACCCCTGCCACTGCCGCTGCCTACAGTGACAGGTAAGAGTCTCCCTTCTCCTGCTTGACAACTACCTTGAAACGAACTAGCTGGTGGGAGACGAGATGCTCGTCTGGTTCTGGTGCCAGTGCATGACTGCTGGGGAGGCAGCACCCCAAAATCAGGTCCCATGGTGAAGGTAAACGGTGCCACGGAGAGGGAGGATGAACGATCAAGCCTAGAACCTCCTAAACTCTCGCCCCCCTCTGCTAAAACACAAAATGCTATGTTTTTTGCAAGTACAGCTGCTTTTCAGATCTCTCAATCCCTGTGACAGCACACCTTGCATGCACACACATACAGTCCCTGTACAGCCTTGCCACGGTCTTCTGTGTAAGAAGCAGCCACGGTTTCAGCTAACTCATAGGAAGAACACCTAAGAAGATGATCCTGCAGGGTTTCCTCAACTGCGAGCACCCTCTTTCCCTTTCTTATGACTTTTATACACCCAGTAGAGCATTCCCTCCATTGCCTTTTTTAAAAACCCAACACAAACGAATGGGGAAGATGTATCTGGCATTCCTATGGAGATTCACTCTTTGCAGCAGTGCCCAGTGTCCGATCCTACTAAGATAAACCGACATGTATTCGTAATGCGCACCACATGTTAAGACTGGCAGTGGCAGGGGACAGAGCGGGTCTAAGAAATGCAGAAGTCAGAACGGATGGCGGGGGTGGGGCTGGGGGGGGTGGAGGAGCTTCATTACCCATTACCCAGGCTTGACAGATGACTCGGTTTCTGAAATGGCAAGCCACAGCTATTTTTGTGTAGGTGCCTTGAAACAAACAAAGTGTGCGTTTCCATATTGAATGCAACTCGTTGGCTCTGTTTTCTGAGGACATAAATGTGAATGTTCAGATGCTCTGCATGCACAAATGTCATTGAGGGTGCTTATTTTTGGTAATGACTCCTTTAATTTAAAAATATGTCTCATGAATAAAACAGTAATGGTAACAATTTGCATGTGTGGCTGAGGCATGCTGGGTCAGACAGGTAAGCAGGCGATGTACTTGACCCCCGAATGGGAAGTGTCAGCAGCCTCTGGTTTTCCTTCCTACCTGGCCTGTTGTGACTTAGCTCCTCTCTCGGTTTGCTGTGGTGTGCTTCCTCTGCGGCTCCATTTCATTTCTCACGAGATGTGTCGTTAGCTCGATGTAGCTGCAGATTTCTTCCGAGGTGTCATAAAGCAAAATAAACTCCTGGGCCCTAAAAGCTGCACTTTGAATACCCCGTGCCTACACTCGTAACAAATGGCTCTTTGGCGAGATAGAAGTGAGATCTGCTATCTGGTTGTATGTAGGTGTTATTATTGTTTTCGTATCAGCAGCCCTAATGGGTTCTCAAGACTGGAGTGAACCTCCAAAGAAATCCAAACAATTGTTAAGATGCAGTTCTAAACACATAAATTATCCAGTTACCCAATATCCTCTTGCCAAGACTCGAAACATGTTTTATGGACGTTACTATCTTCAGTACACTTTGACACCAGATTAGGAAAGAGAGAGTCAATAAAGCTCATAAAACTGACGGCAATCTTGAAATCCTGGAGCTCATTCTACAAATGAAGAGTCTTAATGCTATTAAACTCTGCACACTGAAGATTCACAAAGTATCAATTGTAATGTGGTTCATCTACAACCCTTAATTATTTTTATGAAAATATCTCTAGATGCTAAATTCTCAAACACCCACTTTGTGTATAATTATAATCATAGTAACTTTAGCCTGCCGTATAATTATAAGAATCTTAAACGGATTTATTTCTTTGGATTTTTATCTTGCTTCTCAATATAAGTGCATCTTCCCCCAAGTTGAAAAAAGGTTAATTATAAAAGATATAATTTAAATTGCTTTCTTCAATAAGACCCATCTAGATACTTTTAAAATAATAAACAATATTAATGCTGTCCTTAAATAGAATTACTGGAGAATCTGGCCATCTCCATTGGCATTTGTTTGAAAATTAACTTAGAGTGTTGCTGCATTGAGTGGGGGGCACCCTATGCAAGTACGTGTATAAAACCTGTTATTTTAACATTATTGAGATTTCTCATTGGCAACGTGTCCTTCTGAAAATTGCCCTCATTCTTGGATTGGTAAATCTTGAATGACTATACAATTCCCACGTTAGTGTAATCGTTTCAGTGGAAGAAACCAAGTAAATATACTCTTGTCCATGTAATTGGCCTCTTGCTGTTCATGAAAGAAATTTGCATATTGGGTCTTCTTGGTTGCTGTGCAAATTGATTACTAGCCCTATTCATTATAAGCAAGACACTTGCCACATATGGGATTATTGCATTGAGGTATGTTCAGTAATAGGCAAATTACCAGAAAACAATCTTTAAAATGATATTTCTGGTTCAGTTTGTAAAGTGTAGTTATGACCTGGTGGTATCTCCTTATGTTTCCAGTCAGCAGGTGAAGAGAAGGAAGACCCTTCCCCTGATAGAAGACATGTATTTGGGGAAAATGTGGAACTATTAGGATAGCTTTTGAAATCTTGATGAAAGATACCAAGTTTCTAGAATTTATCTAGGGCAGTTGTGTAATAATTTATTTTCACGTGATCACAGCGTAGTATCAGCAGGGACAGATTCTCAGTTCCTCTCATCTAGAAGACAGGCAGGAATGACAAAGAGAAAAAACGTAACCCAAAGCAGCTCCTTCAGACTAGGAAGCGAAATCAGCAGGAATTGACAGCGTTTTGGTAATGCTCACTGGTTGTCAACTTGATGAAAAGAGAAACCGCAACTAATTTTACTTGTAATCATGAGATTCACTCTTCGGGCATGTGGAAAACAAAAGAAGTCTGATGTCCCCAGTTGGTAGAATTTTACCTTTTATCAGCACAAATTAAGCCCTCATCAAATTAAAGATTCAGGGACCTTTGGAAAATATTGAACTCCAGTAACCTCAGGATGGTCCAGAAGGTCCTTGATGGGCACCTTGCAACTCCCTGCCCATCATCTTCTTGGTTAAATGATCACATGCTGATTATCTGGGAGCACCCTGAGAGTTTCTGACTGCTGACCTCCAGAATGAAGACCATCTGGTGTGGGCAGAGTTTTCCCCAAAAGAAAGAGACCTGTCTGGACTAGGTAATTTGATAGTCTCACTGACAGATTTAAGGGGAATAGGCAAATATCTCTCCTTGGCATTTAGGAAATGCGTGGTAAGCACTTGACTTCACCAAATCTTCATTTTAATCTCACCTTGACTTAGGGAAACCTAACTGTCCAAACTCTCAAGGGGGATTGTTTTCTGAGCTTGAACCAAGCAAAGCATGGCAGTGGGGCCGACGGTCATCTGGTCATTGCATGCCACTCGGTGTTGCTGATGTGTCCGTGATGCGTTCTGGATTTGACAGGTCCACCATCACATTAGCTCGATGAATGGCTTGCTTGAATTAAGCCTGGGGCAGGCTTCTCTTTATGGACTGGCTCTTGGTTTCGTTGTGTTTTATGACTTGGTTGTTGATGCATCTGTGAGCAGCCAAACCAGGAGGTGGGGCGGGTGGGAGGGGACATTCCTTGTTCAGTGACTTGTGCCACAAATGTTTGGGGATGTATGTACGATGTGTATAGAGCTTTGATGAAAATGTTCTCTCTCCAGAAAGGAAGACATTTGTCATGCTTGTCCTGCTTGCTAAACATTCTAACATCTCCTAACAACCAGTGCATGAGAATGTCCCCCACATTAGGGCAGAAGGGAACCAGATTCCAGCAGCTAGAGAGAAAGCAAAAATGGGGTGGTTCACTCAGAAATTTCATAATGATCCCGTTGCACTGACAGTTACCAGGGGCCATTTCGTCTTTCACATAGAACATGAATTTCCTTTAAAGATCCCCAAAAGTCAGGAGCTTTGGACATACAGTCATAGCCCAAGCTGCACAGGTGCCCTAGACTGAGCAAAAGAGACAAGATTTTGTTTTATTTTCTATCTTTTTTTTTTTGAGATTGTAACATTTCATTGAAAACATAGTCTTAGACCGTGTCATATAAAATTGCTATTTTTGTGTGACAAAAATGATAGAATATTGGCAGTTTCATAGCTCAACTTAATATAAAACCAGTTAAGATGCTGTAATATCTATTATCTTGCTCTCTGCATTTGAAATACATATATATACTCGTGTGTGTGTTGTGTGTGTGTATATATATATATATATATATATGCTAAAATAAACACTGGCACACAAGCACACAGACACACATACACACACCTGTGCCTTAAGCCCTCACAAAGAACTCATAGGAATATCTAGTAAATCTTAATACGAGGAGGTCTAGTCCAGGTGGTGACATGCCCACATGCTAGAACATTTGTCAAATGTGATAGTCCTAACCTATGAGTAAACATTGCTATTTCAGAGAGAAATAGATTGAGTAGTTCTTTCTTAAAACTCAGTAGGCATAAGTAGGCATGTGCTTGAGGTCATGGAGAATTCGGTCTGCCCCTATTTAAATTTATGGAGGTGACAGCGATAAAATATACATATGTACATACATAGATGGGCGAATGAATAGATGTGTGGGTGCATGAATGGAAAAGAAAGAGAGAGAAAAAGGAAAAGAAAGAGAGAGAAGAACAAAGAGGGAGGAAGAGAAGGAGCGAGGGAGAAGGAAGGAGGAAGATACACACATGGACAGATAGGGAAAGAACCTCTCTTTACCCTCATAATATTTCATCATAAGCATGACTACAGGATATAGAACTAAATTGTTACGTAAAACCTTAGTTTGATCTAAAAGTAAAAGAATTTGTGTTGATTTCTATTTAGTGTAGATACTCCCTATGTATTTTAGGACTTTTTACCTCCTAGACTCAGATTAAACAATAGAGAAATGTCATCATGACAAGAAGGCTAATAATTGCATTTAAAATGATGTAGCATTAAAAAAAATAAAATAAAATAAAATGATGTAGCATTTTATTTGAAGTCCTTATCAAATGATATACACTAAAAGTGAAGGGCTTGTCAGCTTATAAAACACAAG